GAATAATAACAATAATAATAATAAAATTTACTTTACATTTTTAGTCTGATAATGTCATACCAACTGGCCGGAAAAGCCACTCTTCAACAAATTCAAACTGGCAGGCCACCAGTTGATAATTACAGCTGTAGCATGTTTTTTGGCTCAGGACACATTTCATCAGTGAGCCAGGGAGCAGAAATGGCTTTTACGACAGTCAAGGTTGCAGACTCCTGTCCTAGAGTCTTGTCTCCTGGAATCTCCTCCATGCTGTTGAAGCTGGGAGAAACAGCAAACCTTCTGACACAAACTGATGTTCCATCCTGGTGAAGTTGGACCATCTGTAAAACCTCTGCCTCGGCACTGGCTCTGACCTCAGTCAAATGCAAAACTACTGAAAACAAGAAGAGGAGGAAAAAACATCTGAGGTCTCCAGCTGAAAAACCATTCCTGGTTTTGGGGTGCTTGTTGCCCCTTTATTGCCCCACCTGTTATAAATTTCACAGGTGACACTGATTAACACCTCAACCAACTCAAATCAGGTTTACCTGATTTCATATTAGACTCTGGTTAAAAGTGTTTGATATTTTAGAGCAGCGTGTTTTAATACAGAAGCTAATCTCTGCTGTGATCAAATATTGTGTGAAATAATAACCAAGAAATAACAAAGGAGCTGAGTGTTTCTTTRCACCTGAACCAGTTAACTGTTTGTCTCGTTGAAGTCTGAGTGTTTTGTTCTGACTAACAGGTTGTTTTTTTTACACATTTATCTCCTCTCAGTGTTTTTCTGATCCGAGGCTGTAAAGCCAGARCATGACCTCAGCATCTTTCCTTTTTATCCACGTAGAAAGTAGAAACACATCTTTGAAGTTGCTGAAACTGCTATCCGTAATGATTTTATGACACTTTATCAGTTTATCAGTGACCAAGCAACACTGCCACGTTGGAGCATTTTTTTTCAACCGTGTTTTTCCGTTTATCGTTCCTGCACATCCCTGAGTAAACTGGTTTTATGACCGCAGCATAAAAGATAATCTACAGAAAAGGCGATGTAAAAATAGACATTAAGATTTATTAAGTTGGTTTCACATTGTGAGGCAAAACTTTCTGAGTTTTGTAAGGCAGTACAGGTTACAAGGCACAGTTTCATTCAAAGTAATAAACAAAAAAATACAAYATATATTTTTAAAAATACAAGCGTTAGGAAACTTCATCAGCAAATCTGTCTTTGACTTTTTAAAAAAGTGGAGCACGTGTGTGTCAGCTATTTGGTGCTTTTTAAAATAGCTATGATCATGATG